TCTAAATTTTTTCCATGACATAGAATGTGAGGAAACACTCCCAAATTCATTCTACGAAGCCTGTATGCCCTGATTACAAGACCAGATAAAGATACATCAAGGAAAGAAAACTACAGACCAATATCTCTGATGAACACAGATGCAAAAATTCTTAAGAAAATATTAGCAATTAGCATTCAAAAAGATATTAAGAAGATTGTACTCACTGATCAGGTGTTGGATTCATCCCAAATTTGCAAGGTTGGTTCAACATATGCAATTAAACAAATATAATTCATTACATAAAGAGAATCAAGAGAAAAAATGAAATGATCATCTCAATAAATGCAAGAAAAAGTCTTTGACAAAATCCAGCACCCATTCATGCTAAAAACAGTGAAGAAACTAGGTTTAGAAGGAACTTAATATCATAAAGGCTATATGACAAAACCAACAACATACTAACTGAAGAAAACCTAAAAGAATTTCCTCTAATATCAAGAATAAGAAAAGGATATTCATTCTCACACACTCCTATACAATATAGTTAATGAAATGCTAGTCAAAGCTAACAGGCAAGAGAAGGAAATTGAAGGGATAAAAATAGGAAAAAGAAGAAATCGAATTACCTCTGTTTGCTGACAACAGGATCCTATATATAGAAGATCTAAAAAACTACCAGAAGACTTCTAGAATTCACAAACAAATTCAGCAAAGTAGTAGGATATAAGATCAACATACATAAATCAGTAGCTTTCCATATACTCAAATAATTAATCTGCTGAGAGAGAAATCAGGAAAATAATTCCATTCACAATAAACTAAAAAATGAATTAAAAAAACATGGGGATAAATCTACAGAGGTGAAAAACCTATAAAATGAAAATTATACAACACTGAAGAAAGAAATTTAAGAAGACCTTAGAAGATAAAAAGAATGCCCATGTTCTTGGTAGGCCAAATTAATGTTGTCAAAGAGTCACATTACTGAAAATCATCTACAGATTCAATGTTATCCCTGTCAAAAAAACAATGACATTTTTCAAAAAACTAGAAAGAAAAACAGCTCTAAACTTCACAGAGAAGAATAAAAGACCCAGAATAGCCAAAGCAATCCTGAGCAATGACAGTAAAGCTGGAGGCATGGGAGCACCTTATCTCAAATTATACTGTAGAGCTACAGTAATGAAAAAACAGTATGGTAGTGGTATAAAAACAGATATGAAGACCAATGGAATAGAAGATACAGAGACAAATGCACACATATACAGGCATCTGATCCTTGACAAAGTTTCCAAAAATATACACTGGATGAAAGATAGCCTTTCTAAAGAAACAGTAATGGGAAAACTAGATATCCAGATGTAGATAAATGAACCTGGATCCCTGTCTTTCACCCTACACAAAAATCAACTCAAAGTGGATCAAAGACCTAGGAAGTAGACCAGAATACTACACCTGCTAGAAGAAACACAGGATTAGCACTCTACCATATTGACACAGGCACCAACTTCCTTAAAAGACTCCAAAAGCTCAAGAAATAAAACCAAAAATCAATAAGTGGATAGCATTAAATTAAAAAGCTTGTATACAGTAAAGGAAATAAGAGTGTAAGGAGGATCCTAATTACACTAAGTTATAGTCCATGAATTTATATGCCAAAATATACTCTACTGTCATGTATATCTAAAAAGAACAAATTTTTAAAAAGAAAAGAAAAAAAGTGAGGAGGGAGCCTACATAATGGGAGAAAATCTTGTTGCCAGCTACTCTTCTGACAGGAGATTAACATCCAGAATACAAAAGAACTCAAAAAGCATAACACACACATAAAAAAATAATAACCCAATCAACAAATGGGCAAATGATATAAAAAGAAATTTCTCAAAAGAAGAAATGCAAATAACAAACAAACATTAAAAGAAAAACATAGCAAATCAAAATTGCTATGGTTTGGATATGAGGTGTCCCCCAAAAGAGTTCATGTTAGTGAAATGATTAGATTCTACAAGCTGTCACCTATTTATAGGTAGGTGGGGCATGGCTGGAAAAAGTAGATCACTGCAGGTGTACTGGGAACTGTATTTTGTTCCTGGCTCCTTGCTCTCTGTTTGCCGTTTGCTATGGGCTGAGCAGCTCTCCTACACCAGGACTTTCTGCCATGATGTTCTGCTTCACTTCAGAGCCACAACAATAGAATTAGCCAGCCATGGACTGAAACTCGCAAACTATATACCCCAAATAAACTTTTCCTCCAGGTTGTTCTTCTCAGGTATTTTGGTTACAATGACAAAAAGCTGACTAACATAAAACTACACTAAAACACTGAGAATACAAATAATAATTGCTGGTGAGAATGTGTGGAAAAATGTATACTTATACATTGTTGGTAGGACTGAAAAGTAGTAGACTGCTCTGAAAAATAATATGGAGATAACTCAAACATAGTATCACCATGTATTCAAACTATCTCACTCCTTGGTATTAATCCAAAAAGTCTAAAATCAGCATACTAGAGTGATTCATGCATACCAATGTTTACAGGACTGCAATTTACAACAGCTAAGTTATGGAACAACCTAGGTCCCTGTCAATAGACAAATGGATAAAGAAAATGTGGTATATATACACAATGGAGTTTTAGTCATTCATAAAGATGAATGAAATTATATCATCTGCAGGTAAATGGATAGAATTGGAGAACATCATGGTAAGTAAAATAAGCCAAAGGTCAAATGTTTTCTTTCATATGAGGAAGCTAGACAGGGAAAAAAAAAGGGAATTAAATGTGTATGTATGTGGAGTTGAATCTCATGAAAATATACAAGGGAGACTGTTTGGTTTGGATATGAGGTTTTCTCCTCTAAGCTCAAGTGTTAAGCAATGCAGGAATGTTCAGAGATGAAATGATTATATTATGAGAACTATAGCATGATCAGTGGATGAATACATTTGATGGATTCATCTTGAATGTATTACTAGAGGTAACCTGTAGGCAGGAAGGGCATGGCTGGAGTAAGTAGATGGCTGGAGGAAGTAGGTCACTGGGAGCATGTCCTTATGGATTATATTTTGTCCCTGGCTCCCTCCTTGTTCATATTCATATTCATTCATTCATTCATTCATTCTCTCTCTCTCTCTCTCTCTCTCTCTCTCTTCCTTTCTCCCCCCCCCCCCTTTTCCTGGCTGCCACGGGCTAAGCAGTTTTTCTTCCACCATGCTCTTCTGCCTTATCTCAGGCCCACACTGATGGAATTGGCTGACTAGCAACTGAATTTCTGAAACTGTGAGCCAAAATATATTTATCCTCCTCTAAGTTGTTCTTGTCAGGCATTTTGATCACGACAACAAAAAGCTGCCTAACACAGAGATCAACAGAATTGAGGAAGGGGACTGAGAGGGAGAGCAAGGGGAAGAACTGGGAAATGAGATCTACAAAATTATGCTATGTCCATGTGTGAATATACTACTTATATATATAAACTATAATACAACAATTAAACGAATGGTTAACAACAACAATAACCACAGAAGGGAGATAAGTAGAGCAAACAGATCAGGGTGAGAAAAGGGGAGAGGGATAGGGAAAGTACTTGGGAATGAGATTGATCAAGTTATGTTAAGTGCATGTATGAATAAGGCAAAATGAATCTCACTACTGTTTATAATTAAAATGTACCAATTAAAAGGATAAAACAAATATTATGACATTGGATACAATGGAAAGACAGAAGATGATATAAGAGTTCTTTTTAAAAAAATTACTTATTTTTATTCTTTTTAGTTATACATGACAGTAGGATGTATTTTGACATGTATACATGGAATATAACTTATTCTAATTAGGATCCTATTCTTGTGGTTGTACACCACATGGAATTACCCGGGTTGTGTATTCAAATACAAGGATAGAAAAGTTCTGCCTGATTAATTCTCCTGTCTTTCAACATACAGTTCTAAAGAACTTGGGAGAGAGGACATGTATCACAGACTAATTAGTAACCTAGATTTTGAGTTAGACCTGGTTTCAAATCCTGGCTCTGCTCTTACCAGTTGTGCAAGTTTGGACATGTCACTAATGCCCTCTAACTTTGTTATCTACCTACAAAATAGGGATGATAATAATACCTATCATACGGAATTGTTGTGATAACTAAATGAAAATACACATGAATTTTTAGCTTCATTCCTAAATGATAATTGTTAGCTGAAGAGTTCTATAATTAAGCAAAACCAAATACTCAGTCATTGAGCAAAATTATTAAAAAAATACTTTATTAAAAATAAAAATTAAAAAAGTGTTCATTCACTTTTGATTTTATTTAAGAAGGCTACTAATCTGAAAAAGTAAGGAAAATGGAAAAAAATGCTTGAACCAAAATAAAAGCAAAGGAAATTAAAATTTCCAAGTAATTGTTTTATAGATACATAAAGAAACTATTTGTTTTGACAGAAAGCAAACATCTATCATATTCCAATAATGGTTAAAAAATTAGGGCACCTATTTTTATTAGGAAATAAAGTCCTCGTTGGATTCCACTTTATCCATATATATAAAATATGTAAATTTTGACAAGCATAATAATGATCATTTAATGAATTAATACAAAGGTTACTAGCTAACTTAATAATAATTAAAAAAAAGAGTCCTGAGATATTCGGGAACTGTTGATTAAACTGTAACCATAAAAAGTTTTTAAAATGCCATGTATGAATTAATATGTTATACTAATGAGCACAGAACCACCAGTTTCTAAATTTTTCTCAGGCTATTTCTTAAATAACTTGTATATAGCTGTTTTGATCTTAGAAGCCTGTGCTATAGAGCTTGTGGATAAGATTCTAAGGGCCAACTCTATCTTTAGAGGGGTTAACACTTTCTATTCTTAATATATATCAGATTTCAATAAAGCCATGTAAAGTTGATATGGAGCATTTGCTGGAGTTGGGGAACAGAGAAACAACAGAAAACAGCAGAAACACAAAACATATTGAAAACACACATTAAAAAGAGAACTCACCACTGAATTATTTCCGTGATTTGGGCTTCCCAATGTGCAACTGATTCTTTCTTGTCTGCTATATCTTTCACCTCTTCTTCTAACTGTTGGTTGCGCATACTTAAATTCTCATACAAAGTAGTAAGCTGAAAGGCAGTTTTTAAAGTATGCATAACTTTTAGGACCAAGACTTCAAGGTGCTCAGACACTTATTATTACATCTGATAATTCACAATCTTCCACTCAAAAATTCTTGTCTTTTAATTATTACACATGTTCTGGTCACTGAATTTGCTAATAACAAGTACTCTGAATTCTCATGCTTCCTTTGCTTGTCCTTATACCCTACACTAAATCAGTTCTGGTTCTGTGAACATTCACATTTGTCAGAAGAATGTTAACATCATATCTCTTTGTTTCTTTGTGTCTCTCATTTGCAAATGTCTTTGTCATCTTTTTTTTTTTTAATCAAGTCATAAAGAATTTCAAGCACATTCAAAATGGGACAATACAAGTGAATGCCCATGAGCCCACCATCAATCTTGTTTCATTTATGCCCCTATGCTATTCCCCTTTTTCTTGTATTATTCTAAAAGAAATAACAGAAATTGTATATTCACCCATACATAGATCTGAAAATAACATATATACACATATATATATAATAAGATATATGTATATATATATACACACACACATACAAGATATATGTAAGATAAATTGTATATTCACTCATATCTGAAAATAAGGCTATATCTCTTAAAATATAATTATAATATTATCATACTTAAATTTAACAAGTATCATAATACCATCACATTGGTATCAACTATTCAAATTTCCAGTTATTCAACATTTGTTAAACTTAATCATGAAACCAATTAAGTAAATGCAATTTAATGGTTTGATATGTCTTCTTAAGTCTGTCTTACAGATTTCTATATAATACTTTTTAATTGTAACTTATTCATTAAAAAAGTAGGTTGTTAAAAAGAAAAAAAAAGAAAGAAAGTAGGTTGTTCTGTGGAGTTTTTTTACATGCTGAATTTGTGTCTTCACTTTTGCTGCATACAACATTCTATAAATTCCTTTTTCCTTTTTCTTCTAGGTTCCTTCTCACATCCCCTTTCTGTTGAGAAGTCAGCTTTCAGCTTTTTACTCCTTTGAATACAATGAATCTTTCTTCTCTGATTGCTTTTAGGATTTTATGTAGATTGGTTGCTACTTTTCAGCAGTTCTGTGATTTGTCTACATGGTGTTTGGATTCATATCACCTTTAGGGTTTGTGACATTTCTTGAATTTGTGGTTAAATGTTTCTTAAAAGCTTTGAGAAATTATAGGCTATTAACTCTGCAAACACTGCTTTTGCCATTGTCTTTTTTCTCGCCTTCAGGGAAACCAAATATTTATTTATTAGTTCTTTTTATCATGTCCTCTACATCTGGTATTCTGTTTTCTGTACTTTCTATTTTTTTAACCCTGTCTGTATAATAGTATGAATTGTTTTTAAATGTACCCAGTCCTTTAGCTCTTTCCAATCTGATTTGAAAATTTCCTATTACATATTTTGATCTTTTGATTTTTCAATTTTAGAGACCGTTTGATTTTTTTATATGGACTGCAGAAGTTAAATTCTTCACAATGTTTTCTACTTTCTTGATTCATTATTTTAAATTCCATTTGTGAAAATTCCATGCTGGGAACTCCTTTGGGCTGTTTGCACTGGTGCCTATTTTTTTTTATTCCTCCCTTCCCATTAACACTTTTGTTTTTGCTGTTACATTTTTTTTTTCCTCTCCTGGATTTTAGTGTTTTGCTTATTTGCTATTATCCCTGGTAAGTTTTTTATTTATGTTTTACATTTATTTTTACTGGATTTATTTATTTATTTTTCTTTAGTTGCTATACCATTTAATACGAGCAGTATATTAGTTCCTCCATATCCTTGTATGCCACCATTCTTGATTACAGTAATCATTCTTGAGCATGTACATACAGCATTCTCACTGTCATTTTCATTTACATTTTCCTAATGACTTTGAACATCTTTTCATATGCTTGTTATTCACACATCATCTTTCACAAAATGTCAATTCCATTTTTTTCTCTACATACTTAAAAAGACTGTTGGTAGGAACTGAGTTTTAAAATTTTTATATGTTGGGCTGGTGTTGAGGCTCAGTGGTAGAGCACTTGGGTTTGATTCTCAGCACCACATATAAATAAATAAAATAGAGGTCCATTGACAACTTAAAATTTAAAAAAAAATTTTATATGTTATGAATAGAAGTATTTTTTTAATCAGATATACGATGTAGAAATATTTCCTCCCTACCTGTGCATGTCTTTTCATTTTCTTAATTGTTTTCGAATTTTGAAATTCAATGTATCATAGTTTTTCTTTCATACACTGTGCTTTAAATGCAATTCTCTAACCCCCAAATCACAAAGATTTTCTCTTACATACTTCTTAAATTTCAGCTGATGATGTATTTTGAGTTAATTTTAATCTAAGTTCATTTTTTCCCTCAAACATGGATGTATAGATGTTCCAACAACATGTGAAAAGACTATCCTTTTCTCATTGAATTATAACTGAACTGATTCTCCTGAGAAATCAATTCAGCATAAATATGAGGGTTTACATTCAGACTCATTTTTTTTGTTTCATTATTCCAATTCTATAGGTTTCTTTTATTCCTATATATTTATATTAAGTATTAAGATTACATAGAATGAATCCTCCAAGTATAGGATATTTTCACCAAATATTTTGGCTTTTCTAGATCTTCTGTACTGCTGTATAAATTTACGTGTAAGCTCACCAATTCTAAAAAAAAGCATACCAGAATTTTGACAGGGATGTTCTTGAATTCACTATAGTTCTATCTGGAGAGAATTTTAACAATGAGTCCACCAAGTCATTAACATAGTATATGGACATGTTTGGATAGTTCTCAATGCATCTCAGAAATATTTTCTAACTCTGGTCAATTCCAAGAGCTCTGAAATTGTTTCTTTGCTTTGTTTGTTTGTTTTGGTGGGGAGGATTCATCAATCTCTTCATGCTAGCACAACCACAAGTCTACCAGTCATTTTTGAGAGTTGCAAATGCAGCATCTTCTCCTCACTGGTCCCTGCAACACATTCTTTTTTGATCACCACTGTTTCTGGCAGTCTTTCCAATTAATTTGTGGTTAGGGTGTCAGTAGGAAATTTGTAAGAGTAGAAAATGCAGACTTCCCATGCTATAGTACAACAGTTACAGAGAGTTGTTTAAAACAAGTCAGAAAAAAGTTAACCTTTGCATTATTACTGAGTAAGCATGAACTCTGGAATATATTCAAGTCCCAATCTGTGGTTAGGAAAACAACACAACTCTTCTTTGACTTGGTATTTTCATCTATAAAGTGGCAAGAATAATAGAGCTTATTTTAGACAATTGTGGAAATGAGTTATATAAAATAAACTCAGAAGAAGACCTACATGTAATAAATTCTACCTAAGTATTAGTTCATTTTGCAGGTTTGAAAGGTTTTACTATTTCTGTGTTGAAATATCTGACTTATAATATTTACAACACTAGTAGTGCTCTTGAGATTTTAAGTAAAAAGGCATATTAAAAGAATGTATACATAACTGTAATTATGAAATAATATGAGTGTGGAAAATCTGGAAAGGAATATTATAAATTACAACAGTTGTTTTGAGTTGATGAAATTATATGTGACTTTCATGTTAAAAATTTTCTACATTTTTTGCAATGTTGCTTTTGTGTAAAATCACAATTGGAAAACAAGATATAAATTACATATTTTGTACTATAAAAACTATTTAATTTGGGCTGGGGTTGTGGCTCAGAGGAAGAGGGCTTGCCTAGCATGCGTGAGCACTAATGTCCTCAGCAGCACATAAAAATAAAACAAAGGTATTGTGTCCACTCACAACTAAAAAGTAAAATGTTTTAAAAAAACTTTTATTTTACTCTGGCATACGTATAAATTTTATTTGCAAAAACTTTTCTTTTAATAAAAAACAGAGCTTATACCCTTCTGAAAATATTATTTGTTTGTTTCTATTTGTTTTTTTGTTATTTTTGAGGCTTAAAATGAGAAAATCTACTGTGTGTAACTTTCAACAGTAATAAATGTACAATTCTGTTAAGAAGGAATCTAGTTTTCTTAAACCTGGTTCCCAATGAGATAGCTGGTAAAGCAATGGCAAATACATTAGTTGGTTATCATTCTTGGGAAAAATAATGAATTTAAAACGAACTGGCAAAATAAAGACATGGAAAGAGATGGTGAAGTTGTGCAATGGAGTGAACTAAGAGTTAAGGAGAGAAGCAAAAATTAAGGGATCAGAAACAGCAGAGATTCACATGGAAGCAGAGATTCCAGATCTTTTTGTCAGGCTCCTGAAATCATTTGTTATTGAATACTCGCCTACTATATGAATTTGCTCTCAAAGTAGGATTCATATCCCATATCATACCTTAAAATTCATCAAGAAAAGGTAATGTTCTGTTTTTCATAAACCATCCCTCAGGCTTCTCTACAGATGCTAGGCCTAAATAAGTCCCCTCCTTATGGACATATTAGATTACCAAACAGTTTTAATTAAAAGAGTATTTAAAAATATATTTTTGGTAAACTCAGCAGAGCTTCATATTTAGTAACAAAATTAAACCAAGGACTGAATACAAAATTTGATCTATACTCAATTTGATTATTCTCCAGAGAATTTCGTAATAACATTTTTTTTTAACTAGGTAATTTGCTTAGAAGCACTACATGAAGTGGCTTTCTAGAGTTTGATTGTATATAATCTGTATCTCAAGGTATTGCTTAAGAAAGTCTTAAAATTCTGTCGTGCAGAAATGACATTAAATTTTGTAGTTATATTTGTCAAATACATGAAATAATAATTAGGTAATCTATTTGGATAAAGTTCAAATATTTATAGTCTTATTTTGATGAAAATAACTATGATGTATATAAAATAAAGTTCGGACATAATTCATGCTTTAAAAATCCATTTATGCTACTTATTCTTCAGCTACTTTTCATAGTTATTTTGTGTCTCAGGTTTATAGGATTTTACAAGATGAGCTAACAATATTCTTTCTCAAGGAATTTCCAATCAAACAAGCAAAATCCAATTTCTAAAGACCTTAAATGTTTCCTTAGCATTTTAAAATGTTAAATAATCATGAGGAAAGTAGTGATAGAAATAGAGTTATAAAAAAATAAAAATTCAGAGAAATGCAATTCTCTCTTTAGTCATGGTCTTTCAAGCTGTTATTAGAATAACTCATAACAGAACTTTTTTTTTTTAAATGGACACAATACCTTTGTTGTATTTATTTATTTTTATGTAGTACTGAGGATCGAACCTAGTCTCACATGTGCTAGGCAAATGCTCTACTGAGCTACAACTCCAGCCCCATATAAAAATCCAGAAATCATTATAAAATCCAATTTACCATCCCTTCTTATTTCATGTAAGTTAATATTAAAACTTGTAATTAATATTAGGATTTTTTACAACTGTTCATTAGGAATTGGGACATGAGCTGCAGAACGGCAGCGATATAAAAATCTGAAATAATAAATGAAAAAAAATTCCTTTAAGTATATGAAATTTTGTTTATAAATATGGCTAATTCTAAAGTCTAATAAATCTGCTTATCTTTATTCGAGACAAAGATTAGGCAGATTCAGTCTTTGGATTTTCACTAACTCCTGGTATTATTTCTAGCTATTATCAGTTTTCCATTATAAATATGAAATCATAGCTATTAGAATTCTTGAGATTTGGCCTAACTATCCCTGCTTTCACAAAGGGCCAATCTTCATTTAGCCTGAACATGACAAGCCATGACAGGAGAGTGATGAAAATAAGAGAGCTAAAAAGAGAATAGATAGAAAGTAAAATAAAGAATAGGATCAAAAATAAAGGGGACAAAGAATAAGATGAAATAAACAAAAGCAAAATGTTCTTTCAGAATATTCCTGTCACAAATGGGTACAAGAGAAAATTACCTGAACTGTATAAGCATTCAGCTTGTAAAGAAGACTATTAAACTAAAAATGTACACCAAACCAAATTATACCCACAATTTCTGTCACAGTGTTTAACATCTAACATATGCTCGAATGAGACTGACTCACTCACCTTATCAAGTTCACTTGTCAACTTTTTATTTTCTTCAGTTAGTAACACTTTTTCTCGTTCATACTGTTGTTTAAACTCATTTTCAAATTCTTCTCTTTCACTTTGACTAACACAATTGAAAATATTAAAGAAAAGAAGAAACAGAGTCAAAGGTCAGCAGAAAACAAATTAGTTTTGCAAAAATTACATAACACACATAAATTCAGACTGAACTATAGGAACATTATTTACATACAACACAACATGTTCACATGCAATGAAAGGCCTAATAAAATACTTTCCAAGAATTTATTTATTTATTCCAATAGTTGCTGATTGGTTTATTGAATCATGTAACCAATATTTATAGAATGTCTAGTAGGTGCCAAGAAATAGTGAGCCCTACAGATAGGTTCTACTCTCACAGCAATGAAAAGTGAGTAAATGAACTAATTTCAGATAAGTTCTATAAAGAAAATAAAATATGAAAATGCCATACACACTATCTGGGGTGGGATGGCTAATATATATTATATATTTAGGGAAGATCCTATCAAGACTAATGAAATGTCAAAATGGAAGTAATACTTATCTTCTGCTTCATATTCATTAAAATAAATTCAAAGACAAATTAGTCTGAGTTCAAATTAGATACTTTTTTTGTGTGTATTTGTATCAAAATATCCTTAGAAAATACAAAGTCATGGGCCCTTCCTTAAGATTGGTCTAGTCACTTCCTAGTTTTACTAAAAATTGTATTTTACAGTCCTTGATAATATTTTGAAATAAACTTATATATGAACTCAGATATTTTTAAAAATTGACTTTGAAATAATTTCAGCCTTGTAGAAAAGGTATAAGTGCAAAGAATTCTTGTATCCTCTTCACCCAGGTTCTCCAACTGTTAACATTTTACTTTATTTGTTCCATTACTCTGTGTGTTTAATGATTTCATTATTGTTGTGAACCACTGAGAGGCAGCTGCAAATATTACTTTTTTACCTCTAAATATTGCTCTAAATATCTCAAGATCAAGGGCACTCTCTAACATAAAGACTAAGCAACCCTCTGAATTAAAAGATTCACCCTTACTAGAACACTACTGTCCAAAACCACAGACCATAGTCAAGGTTTGGTGACCATCCCAACAATGTCTCTTTTTCTTATCTAGTACAGGAATCAACTGTATCTCTTCACTTTCCCTTGGTCTAGAACAGACCTCATCTTCTCTCTCTCTCACAACTGTTTTTAGACTGCAGGCCTCTCATTGGGTGACCCCTCAACCTAAATTTGTCAGACTTAAATATTTCATCCTTGGCTGAAATATCACAAGAATAATGCTATACTCTTCTCAGTATATCCCATCAAGAGGGAGGGACAAATGTTGATATGCACAACAATGACCAAATCTCTTTTTTTAAAATAATTCCCCAAAATATTATTAAGCAGCAAATGGCTTAAGGCGGTGCAAGATGAATAAAGTTTTGGTTGATGGACTGATTTGTTTTAAAGAATTTATCAGAAAACAGATGAAACATACACTGCTAGGTTAAGTCCTGGAAGCTTGGACCCAATGGTGGCCTGCAATCAATGAGTTTGAAGTGTGGAACCTCTCAAGAGTCTGCTGGCTCAGGGAGATAAGAATGTTAAAGATTGGCTCTGTTGTGTGCTAACTGCTCAGCCACTCCCTGAGTACACTTGAGAACACTCCTTTTACCAAGGCATTAGTAAATATATTAGTAAGAGGGAAGACTGGCATTCTAAAAAAGCATTGTGGGAGGTGTCCTCTGAATCTGCAGATGATACTGGAAAACGTCACAACAGAAACTCTTCTACTAAAAAAATGGTATTCCAGATTGGCTGTTGTACTCACTGATTTACTTAACTTACAGCTTGAGTATTCCAATTTCCCTCAAAATTAAAAGTCACACTCGTGGGCTTTTAATCAATAGACTTGTCAGTTTAAAAGCACAACTTATTTTTTTTTTTTTTATTTGAAAATGTGGGCTGGGGTTATGGCTCAGTGGTAGAGCACTTGCCTAGCATGTGTGAGGCACTGGGTTGATCCTCAGCACCACATAAAAATAAATAAGTAAAACAAAGGACTATCAACAACCAAAAAATTTTTTTTCTAAGTTCCCTATCCCACTAAATCACTAAACATAAATTATAATTTAATTTTTTAAACTTCATTTTATTTATTTATTTTTATGTGGTGCTGAGATCGAACCCTAGCCTTGCACATGTGAGGCGAATGCTCTACCACTGAGCCATAACCGGAGCCCCAATTATAATTTAAATTTTAAATTCAAGGAAAACAAATCGTCTTATCACCAAGCAAATGTGTTACTGTGCTTATTATTTATCTACAGTCCAAATGCATTATGTAGTATTGTTTAGAACTCTAAAGTTAAACAAAGTAACTTCATGTAACCAGTATCACAGCCTCTGGGGATGGAGTTTCCCATGCTTTTTCTTTTGCTACCAAAACAATATAACTTCTTTTTCTCAAAACCAAGTCCTCTTATTGGACTGGCATCAGGGATAAGACTGAGCTTTCAGTAACAAATTTGGCACCCCGAATGGGACCTGAAAGCAGCCCCCACTACAGGTTTCTTAGGCAGGCCTGACTATCCAAGCAGCCCACTTCCTTGGTAGGATGCAAGGTGCTGGTGAACTTGTTGAGAGACAACTGCCAGAGAGTTGAGAGACAAGTAAATTTCCCTCAGTTAAACCAGAGGAGCTATTCCTGTGAGTCAAGGAAGGAACTGAGGGGCTGTCCCAGCAGCTGCTGAAGTTCCTTTTGCTTGGGGGAACTATGCCTTCTCTCCCTGAACAGTATAGGTTGCTCCATCTTGGTCCACTTTGAGAAAAAGGAAACCGAGTGCAATAAAGCTGCAACACCCTTGGCCATCTGGTAAATCCCCTGGTGTGCACACCAAGACCCTTGACTCCACATATCTGGTTGCTCTTCATGGGAACATCTAGTCCCTCTTTGTGGGGATAACTGTGGTGCTGCTGGTGTAGGAGTCATGGTTAAATGGGACTCAAGAATCCAGGGATTTTTACTCCTTTCTGGTCGGTTCCAGGTTCTCATCTGTTTGTTAGCTTTGGGTTTGGGAATTCCTTTTGGTTGTCTGTGGTTTTGTTTGTATCTGTTACTGCCTTTTTTTTTTTTTTTTTTTGGTACTGGGGATGGAACTCAGGGGCACTCAACCACTGAGCCACATCCCCAGCCCTATTTCGTATTTTATTTAGAGACAGAGTCTCACTGAGTTGCTTAGCACCTTGCTTTTGCTGAGGCTGCCTTTGAACTTGTGATCCTCCTGTCTCAGCCTCCTGAGTCATTGGGATTACAGGACTGTGCCACTGTACCCAGCTTGTTACTGCCCATTTTAAGACATGGGCAATACTGAGCTGATCCTATAGGTAATCTCTTGGGAAAGATCTTGGCTGGTATATTTAAAAGGTTCCCATTTGTTTGCCATGGTTTTGGGGATCCTTTCTGGTTGTCCGCTTTTGTGTTTCTTTTTTTGTTCAATCTTGTAGATGAATTTAGTCTGTCAGAGGTAAAGGAAGTGGAAGAAATTCTGTATGTGCAGGTCTGTCCATTTTAAAGGTCCCTATCTGCCAAGGTTTTGGAAATCCTCTCTGGTTGCCTCCTGTGTTTCTTTTTTTGTATCTGTTTCTGGCCCTTTAAGACATGAGCCATGCTACCTAGATCTCATCAGTGGTCTCTTGGGAAGAAAGATCTTGGCTGAATGGGCCACCTATAGGTCTGTCCAAGAGAAAGATGTTCTACAATAACATAATCTGTTCTCTGGCCTTTGAATGGTTTTTCTGGATTATTATACAATCTTTCAGGCAGAGTTGGTCTGTCAGAAGTAGTATATAGAAGAGATTCTGTATGTATGAGCATTGATGAGTTGCATGATAAGGAGTCTTAACATTTAGAAATTAGGTTGACGATGCAAAAAGGCACTGCCTCTGGTGTGCAAGGATAGTAGGAAACCAGAAGAAAGGGTTAAGAAAAGATTTAAATCCTTTCAACCCAGTGATGGTAGTCTCCCTACAGTTTCTCAGCTTGGCTCCATGCAGCTGCAGATCATCTCCCTGTGGGTCAGACACACTGGCCCTGGGCTAAGAAGAAAATTTTTAAAATCCTAGGAAAGTTGTCCAGGCTATAGAAAAATGGGCAAAGAGAATCTGGCCTCTGCCTTGCCTTGTAGCCCCTTTTTCCCACAGTGGTGGAGACTGCTGGCTACAGAGGACATGGTGGTAGGTTCCAGCACTGTTAGCTTTATTACCTGGGTGCAGAAAATCTCCCCTTTTATCTGATGGAACACCCCAGTTGATCAGGGGATATCCATCACTGGGACAGAGCAGTTCTTGCTGTAACAGTAACCTATCAAACTAAATGCATGGGGGCACTGGCAGCCATAAATAACTGTACCCCAAAAAGAAAAACACAGAAACTAAAGTCAATCTGTTTTGTTGGTAGCTTCTGCAAAGGGATCTTCAAGGAAGACTGAAAAAAAGGATAGAAAGGGACTACTCCATTTAATATCAATATGCCTAGTGTAAGAAAAAAGGTGCAAAAGGAGACTGCGTATGACTGACAGTGGGGAACTCACTTAAAGTTGATGGCATTTTAATGATTATAAGAGAGACAGGTCAGGCTCAAAAGTATCCTGCATTCCAATCTCTTAAATGCCTGAGTACAGGGGGTAAAAAAAGATTAAGGCACAGTTTTTTTTTTTTAATGGAAACTATTATTTTTTTAAATACCTTTGTGGTTTTTTATTTTTGTTTATTTTTATGTGGTACTGAGGATCGAACCCAGGGCCTCACATGCACTAGGTGAGCACTCTACTGCTGAGCCACAACCCCAGCCCAAGGAACAGTTTTTATATATGCCAGATTGTCTAATCCCTTTCCTGGGATGAAATCTGTTGAGTAAATTAAATACACAGATAACATTCATATAGATTTTTTCAGAATATGAATTTAAGAAAGGGTCTGAAATTAGAAAAGACATATAAGAAAGTTATAAGTGTGGAAATATATTTTAGTATGAAAAATGAGAAGGTTAAAAAAATTTCTGGATGAGAAAGCATTTTGTATGCTAAAATAATCTTCTTATGCTAAAGTCCAAGATGAAAGAGAGGACAAAACTAAGGATGTAAACAAGTTGTAGAATGTCTAAATAAGTTGCAGAAAGTTTGTGGAATGTAAATCTCAAAAAATTTTGTGTATGTAATTAAATTGGCTATAATTAGCACAAAGTTATTTAAATTTTAACATACTAATATGAAGCAAAGTCTGAATCACTGATCTGCTCTTATCTATCAAGATAATTCTCTTGTATCTATTAGGATTTATTACTTAGGGAAACTAAGTCTTAAAGGAATTAGGGTTTGTACCTGTTTTAAAGTCTTTTAAATGATTCATAACTGGTTAAATAAAAAACTGTTATTTTAGGTTATAACAATATAGTTGATCCCCTAAATATGTGACTGGATATATGTATACATCTGAGAACCTTGTATGAGCCTTGTCTAAGTGTTATGTAAAAGTGTGTAAAAATGAAAGTTTATGTAGGTTTACCAGCAATTTAACCAAAAAGCGCTCTTTTTTTCTACGTTGTATCTGACATAGAAGGGCCACACTGCCATTTGAAGAACTGTCATATATCATCTTTTGCTTTGACTAAGTCTGTTTCTGATCATTAACACTTGTTTCCTAAATGTATAAGAGATTTAATGCTTTTCTTTGATTTTTGCTAACCCGTGTAAAACTGTTGTTATTGTTACTATACACTATGGACTCTAAATTTTACTTTAAACTGTAATCCCAGCGGCTCAAGAGGCTGAGGCAGGAGGATAGTGAGTTCAGGAGCTAAGGCTGTAGCTCAGTGGTAGAGTGTTTGCCTAGCACGTGTGAGGCACTGGATTTGATCCTTAGTGCCACATATAAATAAATAAATAAAATGGATGTATTGTATTTATCTAAAACTTAAAAAATAAATAAATAAATAAATAAAGATTGCAAGTTCAAAGCCAGCTTTAGCAATTGAATGAGGCCTAAGCAAATTAGCAAGACCCTGTCTCAAAATAAAATATAAAAGAGGGCTGCGAATGTGGATCAGCAATTAAGCACCCCGGGTTCAACCTCTGGTACCAAAAAAATTTTTTTTACTTCAAAAGTTGAACTCAGTTAATATAAGGACATCTGTGTAACTGTAATGCTAAGCATTATGCTTCTTTAAATATTAGATGAATTTATGTTCTTCAAGTAAACAAGCCTTATTTTTAAAGCATATTTTGAATTTTATTTAAAGGTAAAGTAATGGAAATAAACAGGCTACATTTCCTTGAAATCGATCTTCAATGAGCCTATTTTGCCACTTTACAATAATGCAAACGCTACAGTCCTTGTTTAAGTTATAATAGATCTTCCTGTTTTTGACAAAATATAATAAGAATCAAAGAAGGATGACACACATGAAAAGAAATAAACAAGCCTTTTGAAATGTAAATCTTGTGACAGCACTTCACCAAGTTGGTGGTCTCCAAACTAAAATTGTCTGTACCAATAGTCTCTTTCAGATTTATGCAGAAACAACAAATTTGGTTGGTATTTATTTATGTCAATTTTTACCATATTCTTTCTCATTACCTAATTGCTCCCCACCATACCAATACCTGGCTTCTGCCTCCATTACTTAAATAAAACCAAAACTGCTCTCTCAAAACTCACTATTGACTTAACTATTATCACATCCAATCTATTGTTGACAATGTTGTTCTTTCTTTCCCTCATGAACTGCTATCTTCTCTTGCCTTTGATGTTACCATACTTTCTGGACTTGTAGCCAACAACCTGGGCTTCTTTTTAGCTGTCTTTGTGAACTCCTTTCCTTCTGTTCTTCCCATAAATACCAGCACTTCTTGGAATTCTGTCTCAGGTGCTTGTCTCCTCTCTCTTTAAGTTCTCCCTGAGGTAGCTCATCAACCACAACATTTGCTTACAGTTATTTCTTATACTGAGGTCCTCTGAATCTACCTCTGAAGCTTTTACGGGCTTCAAACTATTGACTTAAAATCTCCACAAATGTATGTTCAAAACACCTCACATTCAACATGCCTAACTCAACAAGGGAGGTCAACACATAAACATGTTCCTACCTATCTTCATTTATGCATAAATATCAATTTTTTCTTACCATAGGTTAAAAAAAAAGTAAGACTGAGTAAGGCCAATCTCTCCAATATTACACTTCTCTGGTAATTTTCTCCCCTCTCTCCACTGAATGAACTATTAGAAAACTTCCACTATATTAAAAATATGCTATTTATTGCTCTTACCTTAAAAAAAAAAAAAAAAAAAAAACAAGGATCAAGGTAACTTTGACAGAAAATTCTCCTCCAGCTCCTCTCTTATTTCACCTCTTACTTTGGCAGTAACAACTCCAAGTACTAACAATTGTTATCTACACTTTGTTCCAATTGCTCTCTTTCAAGTCTCTCTTGATCCCACTGTGGAGTGTTTGTCCCTACTTTTCCACTGACATTATTCTTATCAAAGTCACCAGTGACCTTCATATTACTAAACTCAAATGCCACTGTGTAGTCCTTATTTTACTTGATTTGTACTTATTTTATTTGACATGTTGACAAGTTTCTTCAGCAGGCTTCCAGGATACTAAATTTGCTTGGTTTACTTCGTATCATTCTGACTATTCTTTCTCCTTCCATTTTGCTTGTTCATCCTCATCTCCCAACTTCTAAAGATTGGAGTGCCTCAGTGTTCAGTTCTAGAGTCTCCTTTCTATCTAAATGATCTCATTCTGTCTCCATGGCTTAAATATCATGTGAATGATATTCTCAGAATTATATCTCTACCCCTGAAATCCAGGGTGCTCTATATATAAGCCTACTTCATATATCTACCTGAAGGTCAAGCATCTGCAAGCCAGCTGATTAAACAAAGCTCTTGATAATACACTCATCTGAAACTTGCTTCTCTTGTAGTCTTCCTGAGTGGTAACTATAGTCTTCCATTTGCTCTTGTCAAAACCACAGGATCATCCTTGATTCTTTCTTTAGCTTTCATTCCATATCTAATCCATCAACCAATACCATTACCCTTTACCTTTAAAGAATATTAAAATTTGAACATTTCTAACTATCCCTTTTGCCACCAGCCTAGGCCTGAGTCATCATCTTTTGCCTGGATTATGACAACAGCCTTCTAGATAGTCTTATAGTTTGCTCTTATCTAATTCAGACTATTCTTAACCCAGGAGTCATAGTAATCCTGATGAGAAACAAGTTTCCTGAAGTAAACTACAATAAATCACCAATATATGACTTATAAGGCTTAAAAAAACCGACTCCTGTTATCTGACTCATTTCTATTCTTCTTTGCCCTTGCCTATACTTAAGCCATACCAGCTTCCTACAATTTTTTTAATAGACTTACTCTTTGTGTATAATGATCTTCTCATACACCTTTTAAGCATTTACCTAAATTTCCTTAGTCTTAATTCAGACATCACCTCTCAGTATATTTTCCCCTGGCATGTAAATATATACAAAACATATATATTATGTTTCTGTCTATCCATTCTATATATATTAAAATATATGTGCATGCATATGTATACACATATGTAATTTAATTTGTCCTCTTAATTCTTAATAGTCATTTCCTACTTTATTTTTTGTTTTTAGCATTTATCATTACTTAATGTGTTCTACATTTTATTTCTTTGTCTTTTACCATACTAAAGGAAAACTCCATAAAGATCAGGATTTTCTTTGTCTGCTCATTGCTATATCCTAGTATATACACCAATGCTTTGCACATAGTAGGTTCTTAAAATAATTTTGTTGAGTCAATGAATGCACCAAACTGAATAAACTTGGGCTTCCAGTATAAGTTAAGAATGACAATTATATGTATCTAGTTGCCTGAAATCTAAAGTGTTGTTTTTTTTGCTTATTTTGACCACATTGAGGATTAAACTCAGGAGCATTCTACCACTGATATATATTACCCAGTACTTTTTATTTTTTATTTTGAGACAGGGTCTCACTAGGTTGCCCAGGCTGATCCTTGAACTTATGATATCCCTGCCTTAGCCTCTCAAGTCACTAGGATTGCAGGCATGTACCACTGTGCCTGAAATCCAGATATTTGAGCATTACGGAAAATTTCTCCTGTTCCCTCACTTCTCATAGCTGATCATTATGTCCTACATGTTCTGTCTTCTCAGCAGAACTTCTGAATCCATTCAATTCTCTCCAACTTCTCTATCACTACCTAACATCCATAATCTCATTTCTCATAGCTGAACTCCTATACCTGTCTGCACTTTTCAAATCATTCTTTACCCAGTAGTAAGTGATCATTCAAATACAGAAATTAAAAATCATGCTTTTCCTTCAATGGCCTTAAATGGCAAATGCATTACATTTATTCATGATCTTGGCTTTATTTTCCTTGCAGACTCATTTTTTACCACTCCCTTCTATTTATGCTTCTATCATAATAAATAGCTTTCAGTTTCTGAACGTATTAGGCTCCACATTTTCTCTGGATCTTAGCACATTCTGCAACCTCTGCTTGAACACTCTTCCCTTCCTACATCTTTTTACTTATTAGCTCTCAGCTAAGAATTAGTTTTGTCCAGAAATCCTAAATGTACCAAAGTTACTTCTTGTGCCTGTGTGTGCTCCTAAACTTATTCCATTTGCTTTCCTACTATACTGTACTGTAATTTTCTATTTACTAATCTTAACTTTGGTGTCCTTGAGAACTGGGACATGCTTATTGCCTGTGTATCTCCAGCATTTTTCACAAAACAAATACCCAATACATTTTTACTGAATGAATAAATAATGTGACTCATACCTTTCTCTCCTGGTTTTTTCCAGTTTGTCTTTTAAAACCATAATTTCTTTGTTGAGAGCAAGTTGCTGGCCTTCTGAATCATGCAGTTCTTTCTTCAGATTTTTAATCTCATTTGCATGTATTCCTTCTCTTTTAGATAATTCTTCTTCATAAAAGATACTTTTCTTTTCTAAATCAGTCTTCAGTTTGTTTATCTCTTGCTGATGTTCTATGCTGCAAACTCCAGGTGAATAACTAATTTGCTTTTGCTATAGAAGTAATAACACAAGATTAATTCATCTATAATAAAATAATAACTCCTTTCTATAAGGTACTATGCACATAAATGTATATCATTTTTGCATATTCTCAAACAAAAATAATATTCTTTCTGTATTTAAAGCTATTATTTGTCAGTCATATATTGCAAATATTTTCCTTGGTTTACATTCCTTTGTGGTCTGTGTGGTTTTTTGTTTTTGTTTTTTTTTTTTAGTCTTTATACCGAGATTATGTATTTGTAATTCTTCTGCTGGTACTTATAAGATTTCTTATTTTACATTAAAATTCCTATGTAGAATTATTTTTGGTGTATGAGTGAGGAAAAGTCTAAGTCTTTTATCTGATAAGAAACTGTTAGAAAGTTTTAATCATATTTGTGTCTCTAAAAAGATTAAAATGGGGGAGAGGACGATAAAGCTAGAATGTACAAAAGAAAAGAAAGGGAACTTCTGCAATGATCCGGGGAAAATGACAAAGGCCCAAACAAACACCTCCTTCATATTTATGCTAGAAAAAAATGGTAGACCTCTTGGTTTCAGGTAGGACATTAAGAAGGAGGAGAACTTTGGTTGGAATCCATATTTTTAGAAATTAGGCTGAAATATAAAAGTCCAAAGGTTCTTTTTGCTACTGCCCAAAGGGTAGGCAAAAACAGACCAGATTATGACCATAAGATTTCCTGAGCTTTTAATTCCAAAGCTCATACTTTGTTCTATCCTATTTCTCAAAAAACTTTTAAAACTAAAAGAACCTATGTGTGTAGGTTTATAGACAACAAGTAAATAAAGAGCTAGGGGCACTGTTCCTTTTTTGAAGGCACTGATAAGAGCTGTAAAACTGTTAATGGAGATTGATTTAAAGCTGAACAAAAATGTCCTGTCTCCTTCCTCTGTGAGGTATAAAAGGTAAAAATAAAAAAGGAGCTGATGTAGACCAGAGGAAATGGTCCACTGCATATTTAACTATTTATTAAGAAAATACTTATCATGTGCTAGATACAGATTGTCCAGTTGTTTCTGAGACAGCCTGGCATGCAAAACTGCTTAAATTGAGAAGAAACAGAGCAAGTCAGATTCTTGCTTTCTTGCTTTTAAGCTTCTCTGTTTAAAAAAAAAAAAAAAAAAAAAACTTCTAAAAATAAACTTATAGCACTAACTACTGACCTATACGACTCTTTTATTTTTCTAATCACCTAAGGAACACTTTAACCTTGTTTTTCTATTCAGTTAACTGTTGAGATGACAACATGCACAAAAGGTTTCAAGGAAAAATTCCCCTGAAATAAAAATCTAACAAAGATACCACCAATGAAAATTATAGATGTCTATCACTTATTGCTAAAATTACAAAAGAGCCAAATAAAATGTAAAAAAACAAAATTAAATTGTAAGTAAAAAAAAAAACAACAAGCTATTAACAAAAGAATAGATTGCAGGTAATGAAATTAGTAAAGCAAACTTACTAATAAATGCATTATTTTGCAGATTAAATGATTTTCTAAGTGGTTACCCCAGCCCAAAACTAACTGGTAAAATATAATAATAATTCCAAATGCTACTCTTAAGTCCCACAATAAAAGCATTTTAAAAGTTCACTAAATCTTCTAATGTAAAAAAAAAGTAGCAGTTTTATAATTAATGGTGAAACATCAGAAATATATAAAGAAAAAGAATGTCACCCATTACTACTCTTTTATAACATTGATTTTAAATACTGTCTGACAAGCATGTGAAACAGTTAACAATATTATAAAATGACATCACTATAATTCCCATTTAGTCGTTTACCCAGAAAATTAGAAGGTATTAAAATTGAGAAAGGTCAGTAAAACAGAAGGATATATAAGATAACACAAATCAGTAACATTTCTAGGTACTAAAATAAGCAACAAAAATTTTCAAAAGCAAAAACAAAATTCACCACATACTAATATATACATATTCAAGAAGAATATTCAAGATAATATTGAGAAATTTCCTAATGTATGAAAAACTATAAGTCTTTATAAAGGATATGAAAGATTTAAAAAAAATTTAAGTCCCAAGTATTTGAAAGGAAAAAAATCACAATATGTCCATTAAATATTTTTCAAATTATCTCCTATGTAAAAAGTTCTTTTTAAATGTGGGGAGGAGTACAGTAGAATAGGAAGAGATGGAAATAAATGTTTCTAGTCTATGGGCAAGAATAAGCTATTAAAAGTATCAAAGTCTTAGAAAAAAAGGAAAAGAAGTGTGAGCAGGGGAGTTTTCTTTTCAGATATTAAAATATACTGAAAGTCTTTAAAAAGTATCATTGTAATATATCTCCTGCTCCAAAATAGTTTAATTCAACATATACAACATCTTTAATCAATGATAAAGAAAATGAGCTGGGTGCGGTGGTGCAGGCCTATAGGCTGAGGCAAGAGGACTGCAAGTTCAAAGCTAGTCTCAGTAATTCAGTGAGGCCCTAAGTAACTTAGCAAGACCCTGTCTCAAAATAAAAAAATAAAATGGGGTGGGTATGTGGCTCAGTCTTGGTGGCTAAGCACTCCTGAGTTTCAATCCCTGGGGAGGGAGGGAGGGATGAAGGGAAGAAAGGAAGGAAGAAAGGGAGGGAGGGAGGGAAGGAAGGGAAAGAAGGGAAGAAGGAGAAAGATATGAATAGAGTAATTAATAAATGGAACTAGACTCAATCACCAGCTAGCAATATAAGAAAGAAAAGGTCTCATTTAATAACATACAGCAAAACAAATTCCAGATTAAATATTTAAATATTTTTTAAATCCCACAGAAACATCCAAAAAAAAGCAGAATTAAATATGTATGAAAATTCTACAAAGAAAAGCACAAGCCAAGTTTTGAAGGAATAGAAGATACATCAAGAAAAGGATAAAACAATTCTACTGGGGCATGGTGGTGCATGCCCATAATCGCAGTAGCTGGGGAGGCTAAGGCAGGAGGATTATGAGTTCAAAGCCAGCTTCAGCAACTTAGTGAAACCCTGTCTCTAAATAAAATATAAAAAGGGCTGGGGATGTGGCTCAGTGGTCAAGTGCCCCTAGATTTAATTCCCAATACTTAAACAAACAAACAAATAAATGATTCTTATATAATTTTAAAAATAAACCAGAACAAAACTCAAGGGCAAATAATAAACTGGTAAAGTTTCTAAAAGTCTAAGAAAAAGTAAAATTTTTACTCAGTAAAGAATTTATTCAAACTGTAAGTAAAAACATTAGAACTACAAATTAATTGGGCAAATAACTTAAAGATAAAATAATTAATAATCCATATAAACCAAGAAATGCAAGAAAGCAGTAACAACTTTTGGGCCTCTCAAATTTACAAAGCTCTGTAGTATCTATGAAATACCTTTAAATAATCTACTAATCTACTAATTTCATTTCTAAGTGTCTTTTCTAAGAAAATAATGAATAGTACATAAAAGTGTTCATGGCAGTTAGGTGATTACAAAAGTAAAACCAAGGTATGTTTGAGAACTGGCTATGTGAATATTATTCTTGAATATTTATGGTCATTAAAATTATGCTGACAATTTTTAAAAAATATTTATTTTTTAGTTGATCACAATATCATTTTTATTTTATTGATTTATTTTTATGTGATGCTGAAGATCGAACCCAGGGCCTTGCACGTGCTAGGCAAGTGCTCTACCACTGAGCCACAACCCCAGCCCTGCTGCGACAATCTTTAGTAAATAAAATGCTTAGCAGACTGTTGAGTTTTGAAAAAATACAACTGATACTGTTTGAATTATGTCTCCCCAAAATTCCTATGTTGAAGATCTAATCATGAGTACTTCAAATGTGACCTTATTTAAAAGTACTGTCTTTCAGAGGTAATCAAGTTAAAACGAGGTCTTTAGGGTAGTTCCAACTCCAATATGAATACCTCCTTATAAAAAGGATACAAAGGCATGTACATAGGGAAAACATCATGTGAACATGAAGACAAAGATCAGTGTGATACATCTACGAGTCAAGAATGCCAAAGAGTGCCAGCACACCATCAGAAGCCAACTCTGCCAGCACACTGTGCTAACATTCTAGCCTTCAGAACTGAGACAATAAATGTTTTTTTAAGCCACCCACTCTGTGGTACTGTGTAACAGGATGCCTAGCAAAAACTAATAAAATAAGTTTTAACAAAACAAAACAAACTCTAGCAACATACAATTATTCTTTTAAAAACATTTTTATTGAAATTCATGTATCTTAGCAATTCACCCACTTAAGGTTTAAAATGTGGTTATTTTTGGTTATTGATATACTATGCTATTATTTTTATTTTTTGAGATCAAATCTCGCTGTGTTGCCCAGGCTGATCTCAAACTTCCAGGCTCTAGTGATCCTCCTACATAAGACCCTGAGAACTGGGAATACAGATACTTACTACCATGCCCAGATGATATACTACATTATTAACTTTTTAAGGAGTAAATAGATATTACATAAAACTTTCCATATTAATCATCTTCTTTGTACAATTCAGTGGCATTAATTACATTTACAATGTTGTGTGAACATTACCAATATATCATTTTAAATTTTTTTTCATCATCCCCCAGGAAATTCTGCAACCGTAGGAATTAACTCCCTGATTCTACCTTTACCCAGAACTTGGTAATTTCTCTTCTACTTTGTGTCTCAAAGAAACTGCCTATTCTAGATAGTTTATATAAGTAGAATAATACATTATCTGTCCTTTTGTGTCTGGCTTCTTTCACTCAGAATAATGTTTTCCAGATTCAATCATGTTGTGTCATGTATCAGAACAGCCTTCTGATACATGCCTCTTCATTGTTCATTATCTACATGCCACATTTAGTTTAACTGTTGCTTGATAGAAACTTTGTTTCTACCTTTGTTGACTATTGTAATGATGCTTCATTGAACATCAGTGTAAGATATAAAACTAGAGTATGTGCTCTTAAATATTTTGGATATATACCTGTAAGTATAATTGCTGAGTCATATGGTTTC